GTTGAGGCAACTGTGCGCTTGTTTACCTTGGGAAGGCACACTCGGGGGAGAAGGCATCTAGCTCTGACATCTCCATCTCCCGACCTGGATGCTCGCTGCTTTTTAGACGTCTATTTGTTAAATTAGCCGAGGGTTTCCCCCCCCTTCTCTGCCTTCCCTCGTTTTCCCCCAGTCTAATTGTGTTTCTCCCGTGTTTAATGCGCTGATAAATAACTTGTCTGCGAGGTTCCAAGCTTTTCTTTTCTTTTCCTTTTCTTTCTTTTTTTTTTTCCTTGCAGAAGAATTATTAAAATCAGCCTGATGGCTTTAATGATACGTCAATCATTTCAAAGTTGCTGCTTGTTGCTAATATGTCAGCTTCTGTACACATCACCGCTACTTTCCTCTCTGCCACGTTTAAAGGCTGTCCCCTCCTCTCCCTCCCCACCCCACTCCCCCCCCCCCCCCGCAATTTGTTTCTTCAAGTTTTCATTGCTAGGTTACGATTTCTAATTAGAGCTAAGTATTTCACTTAATATTTAATTTAGACGCCCAGCACATATATCATACCTAGATCAGTCAATCAAGTGTCCCTTGTTGATAATGCTACATCATTAAGAGTTGTGTTTAATTCAGGAACAAGCGACTGCACGGCTGCTGCTGGTGCTGCTCTGCAGCTGCAGAGCAGGTAACTTTGTGCTGGCGGGAGCTGCCAGCAGATCCAGACGGATGTGGGGAAGCAGCAGAGCCCGGCGGGAAAGTTTGCTGCTTACCAAGCCGGCACCTCGCCGCGGAGGCGAGCTGCAACGCCTTTCCCCCTCCTCTTTCTCCCTCTCAAAAAAATGAAAGGGTATCTCACGTTTTCCTCCTCCTGCCTCTGTGTTTAAGCAAAATAAAATGGGGCGGGGGTAACCCCTAAAGTTTAGCTTGGAAGCCGGAGCACTGTTTTGGACCAGGAATAAAATATCTCCCCCTCGGCTTCTTAAACCAATCCGTTAAGAAAAAAATCACTTGCCCACTTGTTTCTGAGCACACATCGCATCCCCAGGGCTGTATTACAGCAGCCGGATGGGCCACGTCTTACCCATCAAATGCGCCTTCATTTATGTTGGGAAATCGTGACTAAAGAGAGAAGGTGAAGAAGAAAGAGAGAGGAATGGGGAAGGAAGGAGGAGGATCGAAGTGTTCGTAAAGAAGGCATCAGTGCAAAATTGTCAGCGCTTGCCACTGAAGAGTGACAAAATATCAATTAAATCGCAGTAACAATAATAATAATAACAATCATAAAAAGCCGAACAAGAGCACCGCGATGGGCTCTCCTTTACCTGCCCCGGGCTCTCCCTCTCTCCCCCCCGCACCTTCCCCCTCGCCGTGGCCGCGGTGCCGCATTTTCCGCTTGCCGGTACCGCACCCGCTACGCGCCAGCCACGTCCGAACCCTGCCACCCCCATCCATAAAAATAACCAGCGCTTGCAAGCGTCGACTGAGTCTCTCCCGAGTCAGGATTAAGGGGCACTAACTGGGCGGCAGAAAATCGCAGCCTCCTGGGAGCGACCATCAAAACAAGCAGTGAAATAAAAGAGCTTCCCTCTCCGCTTCCCGTCCTCTCCCCGGAAAAGTCCTCCAGGTTGGCAGCCCGACACACACAAACGCACACACACACACAACTTCGCAGGGCTCCCTCCGGAAGAGCGCACAGGCTTGTCCTGGTTAATTTAGGGGGAGGTTTTGGGGGAGGAGGGGAGCTGCTCCCCTGCCCTGCAGAGCCACATGTCATTCTAGCAGCTGAAACAATGAATCGTGTGGGATCAAGTAAGATTGACTGGAAACGGACGGCAGGTTCCCCAGCCCGGAGAAGACGGCCATGGGCAGCGAGGGGGGGGACCCCGCCTCTCACCGCGCCGCACCCCTGCCCCGGCCCCAGAGCGGGTGCGGAAGGGTTGAAGAGGGAGGTGGAGGCCGGTGCAGCGCACCCCGAGGGCTCCCCCGCGGGACCTCCGCCTGCCGTGACAAACTTACAGGATCCGGAAAGGATTTTCCCAGTCGCTAGGGCAGCCTCTGCTCGGGCCCGGGCGCCGCCGGGGCTCCCGCTCCCCGCTGCCGCACCCGGCTCCGCTCCCCGCTGCGCGCACCTCTCCGCGCAACGGCGCGCTGCTGGCGGCTGCGCCCGCCCGGCTGCTACGGCTGGGAGTCCGGCGGGTCCGGGCTCGGCATTAGCCGATCCCATTGACAGTTTGCAGCCAGCAGCTGCAGTCATTAAAAGCCATTTACACCCTGGCCTCCCCGCACAAAGCGGAGCGCCAGCAATTATCTGCCTGCACATTGCAGGACACGGCAGTGTGTCCCTAACAGGCTTAGGGGAGCGCCGAAGCCCGACCCGCTCCCCGAGGTCTGGCGAACGACCCCTGTGGCTCAGTGACCTGCGGGAACTGGCGCAGGCGTTTTCGAATGGTGGCTCCGTCCCTGCGAGAGGTTCTGGCAGCAGAGCTGCGGTGCTGGGTGTCCGTGGAGGGGAGAGCGGGCTCCAGCCTGGTGTGAGCTGATAGGAACCTCAGGGCTGTGGGGCTGTTTGGCTCAAACACACAGACACACGCACACAAGAGCTGGCGTGCTTTGAAATGCCCTACAGAGGGGTATTTTGGAATAAATATTTTAATCAGTTGTTACGTGTTTCATATGTTCGGGTGGAAAGAGAGAAAGAAAGAGAGAAAGAAAGAGAGAAAGAAAGAAAGAGAGAGAGAGAAAGAAAGAGAGAGAGAGAGAGAAAGAAAGAGAGAGAGAGAAAGAAAGAGAGAGAGAGAGAGAAAGAAAGAGAGAGAGAAAGAAAGAAAGAAAGAGAGAAAGAAAGAGAGAAAGAGAGAAAGAGAGAAAGAAAGAAAGAAAGAAAGAAAGAAAGAAAGAAAGAAAGAAAGAAAGAAAGAAAGAAAGAAAGAAAGAAAGAAAGAAAGAAAGAAAGAAAGAAAGAAAGAAAGAAAGAAAGAAAGAAAGAAAGAAAGAAAGAAAGAAAGAAAGAAAGAGGAAGAGAAGGAATATTGAATCTTTAAAAGGTTCATCTGAAATCCTAATAGAAGGGTGCAACCTATAGGCAAACGACCAGTGTATGATCTTTTGGGAGATTAAATAAAAGGGGGGGGGAAGAGAGATTTTATTCTGGAAATACATTTTAAGATAGTTTAATTTGCAGCTTGAAGAAAAATGGAATCAAATATTAAGAAACTCCCGCAGGAATTCCCCCCACCCTCCTCTCTGTAATCCTTTACATAAAAGGAAAGGATTACAAAGAAAAAGATTTTGTGTGTGTGTGTGTATTAAAATCTTTGGCTAAACATATTGTTGTCCAATTAATACCTCCAAGTCGATTTGTAGAGGGGCTGAGAAGTCTTTTTCCCTCCTTAGCTGTACAGCTGGAAGTATGAGCCAGGGAGGGAGGGAGAGAAAAGGGAAGTTTTCCCCACGTCTGTTCACAGAAGTGTTTAAGCAGATCACTAAAAATTAAGAGGGCGAGTTATTTCCATTCGGGCCGTGAAGCCGCGTAGCACACCGATGACAGTTTAGTGGAAATCAGATGAATGTGTAATACAGCGGGCTTCTTCCAGTCCAGCAGCTCTTCCAACTGGACCTATTCATCTGCCACTTGGAATTATTTCACGAGGAGTGCGCTGTGAAAGGATCACAACCGGTTTGGAGCCCAGCTAAAGAACTTCTACCACCCATAGCAGTATTATTATTATCCTTCGGATAGGGCAAGTCACGCTATGTTTTCACATTTTAATTGTAATATCTCTCTTCCCCCCCCTCCTTCCCTCCATTGATGTCTGAAAGTAGTTTGGGCTCCAAGCCTCACCCCTCGATCTCCATCGGAATGCAGAAAAGATCTTTAAAAAAGTTTTGAATTCCTCAATGATTTTTCTTCTAGAAAGGCGGCTTAGGATAATTATTTCAGCTTTATTGAGGGCAGATTAGTTGAAGTCTGGATGCTGCGTTTCAATACTCGTTGTACATGCCTTTACAATGTCGGTATTGTTTGCTACTGTGTGTGAACCTATTCAAAATATACACTTTTTAACACCAAGCAAAGTCCTGTCTAAATATACACAGTAAGTCTGGAAAGATGTCCATGACCCGTACAAATCTCTGTAAATCACACTTCCATAGCTACAGAAACTAAACAAAAGAGTTACCAGCTCAAGATGCTGATTAAATCTTCTTAAAAGCAACATACCTAATAATAAATATAGTTGCATGGTAGCAAGGTCTGGCTACTTAGCTCGGTCTTACTAAGGGATGGGCTCAAACCACTACGGGGATTTTCCTTGCTCCCAATAGTTAAAAAAATAATGCTAAAAAATAAAATAAAAGGAAATAAATAAAATTAATTTGGGTTCAAACCCTCTTTTGCTCGCCTCCCTTTCCTCTTCCCCGCACAGAAGCCCTCGAGTTTGAGGCAGAAATCGCGGGGAAGAGGAAAGGTGCGATGGCGAGTTTGGGGCGAGGACCAGTCTCGCCAGGTCGCTGGGCTCGGGGGAAAGGAAAGGGCGAGAGGAGGTGAGGCGGGCGGGAGGGGGAAGCCAGACTGGAAGGAAAACAAAGTGGAGAGAGGAAAGGGAGAGGAGAGGGAAAAGGAAGGCGAGAAGGAGCGGGAGGGCGGGGGAAGCAAGGAGCGGGACGGGGGAGGCAGCGAGCGGGGCGCCGGAGCTGGTCCGGGCTGGGCGCCCTGCGCCTGTCTCGGCGAAGCAGCCGCGGAACTCCGCGGGCAGCGGATCTCTCCTTGCGCGGAGAGGGACAGAGAGCGGGACTTGGGAGGAGAGTAGAGGGACTCTTCGTGGAAGCCGGGCTGAAGGCAGGCTATACTGTATGTGCCTGCTTCTGGGAGGGTCACCGGCGTGAGGATGGGTCTAATGATCTCATCTTTCTTTTCTTCCCCGGCACTATTAGTGCTCAGATAGGCAGAATGAAGTGAAACTACGTGCAAATCATGTGTAAATTGTCTCAGTTAGGAGCCCTTTATCCGAACGTGTATCCCAGCCTGGCCCATTTACTTTTCCCCCATATCTCCTTTAGCTTTAACGAGGCTCGTTAAGATCACAATAATATTCCACCCTCTAATTGCTCATCCCATTCAACAAATATGTGCACACTGCTTTTCGCATTATTTGATCCCTTATTTAGGAGGGGTGTGGAGAAGGGGGGGGGGAAGAGACAGGGAGAAGGGGAAGTGCTGAGATTAGGAGTTGCAAAGATTAAGAAAAAAAAAAAGAAAAAGAAAAAGAAAAAAAACAAACCAGGCTTTTCCACCAACCGCCCCGCTTCCCTCCCCCCCCGTGCATTTGGGCGAAGTGGTAAAAACCTCCCTTACGTACTCCGTAATGATTGGCAGTGCTGACAGTGATTGGCAGGGGCTGCCATGGCAACGCCACAACGACACTCGGAAGACCAATAGAAAAGCGAAACAAAATGTTTCAGCGCTGCACTCACTGTGGATTTAGGGGAGATATTATGAGGCTGTTGTCATTAGGGCGATTGCTGTTGAATCACTGAATCCTGACTCGGCGGCGGCGCGGGGCCGGGTGCGTGTGAGTGCGCGTGTGTGTGCGTGTGTGTGCGCGCGTGAACGAGCGCGGGTGCGTGCGAGTGTGAGCGCGTGTGTGTGCGTGTGTGTGTGTGTGCGTGTGTGTGCGAGCCCCCGTGCCTCTATGTGGCTGTGTGTGCGTGTGCGGTTGTGGATGCGTGCGCGGTGCGTGTGCCCTTTCCTCCCTTCTTCCTCCCTTTCTTTCTTTTCTCCTTGATTCGTCTCCCCCTCTCCCCGGTCATCCCATGGTGTTCAGGTCCCCGCTAGAGCTTTATCCCACCCATTTCTTCTTGCCAAACTTCGCCGCCGACCCGCACCACCGCTCCCTCCTTCTCGCCAGCGGCGGCAGCGGCAGCGGCTCGGGCTGCAGCCCCGGTGCCGGCGGCGGTGGAGGCGGCAGCTCCCGGGCACCCCACGAAGAGTTGTCAATGTTTCAGCTGCCCACACTCAACTTCTCCCCGGAGCAAGTGGCCAGCGTCTGCGAGACGCTGGAGGAGACTGGAGACATAGAAAGGCTGGGGAGGTTCCTCTGGTCGCTGCCGGTGGCGCCGGGGGCATGCGAGGCCATCAACAAGCACGAGTCCATCCTCCGCGCCCGGGCGGTGGTGGCCTTCCACACGGGCAACTTCCGAGACCTCTACCACATCCTGGAGAACCACAAATTCACCAAGGAGTCCCACGGCAAGTTGCAGGCCATGTGGCTCGAAGCTCACTACCAGGAGGCCGAGAAGCTAAGGGGTCGCCCGCTGGGGCCGGTTGATAAATACAGGGTGAGGAAGAAGTTTCCGCTGCCCAGGACCATTTGGGATGGCGAGCAGAAGACTCACTGCTTCAAGGAGAGGACTCGCAGCCTCCTGAGGGAGTGGTACCTGCAGGACCCTTACCCCAACCCCAGCAAGAAAAGGGAACTGGCTCAGGCCACGGGGCTCACCCCCACGCAAGTAGGCAACTGGTTCAAAAACCGAAGGCAAAGAGACAGAGCGGCGGCGGCTAAAAACAGGTCAGTGGGCTGCGGAGCCCCGCTCCGGGCTGGGGGCGAGGCGGGCGGCGGGGCACCTCGGACGGCAGCGCGCTTTTGCCTCTCCTTCCCGCTCCTTCTCCTCTCCATCCCTGCCACCGGGAGAAAACAGTCCCCGCTCCGGGCGGCCAGGTCTCCTCCCGGGAGCCGCAAGGATGCAAAGGAGGCAGGCACGACACAAAGTTGCCTGGTGCTCCCCGAACCCTGCCCGGGCTCCCCACAGTCTTCTGGGGTGCGGGCAGGGCTGGGGCTCACCCGCGGGCGTGGGCAGCTCTGTGTGTGTGTGCGGGGAGCAGCGGCGGGGCAGCGCCGGGCTTCCCATCTCCGCTTCCCTCCGTCCCTCCCTTCCCGCAGTGGCTGCCGACCCCGGTGTTGCTCTCGGCTGGCCGGGACCGGCGCCTGGCCTTGCTGTGGCGTGGTTCCGGCGCCGAAGGGCCGCGGCAGGCGGTGCAGGTCGGAGCGAGTCCTTGCAGAGAGGGCGGCTCCGCTCCAATTGTCCCCGCTCCTCCGCCTGCGCGGTGGGACCAGCACACGCAGAGCCCAGAGCCCTTTGGCTTAGTGAGAAAAGGGGAAAAAAGCCCTGGGGAGATCGGAAAACCTCTCTTTTTTCCCATCCCCATTTCTCTGTTTAAACCACATGGAGACCTGGCCCTCTGGTCCTGTGTTTCCTGTGCGTTTACATTGCTTTTATATGCGTGTCTCTCGGCGTCTTTTATTTCTTATTTTTAATTTTTTAATTTTTACTTTGCCATGATAAAAAAGACTTCTTTCTTCCTTTCATTTTATTTTTTATCTGTAAAAGTTATTTTGCAAATGAAGATGGACTCTTAATCCCGCTTGACACGGTTCTATTTTAATTTAAGTTTGGCTAACATTGTAAGCGCGTAAACAAAACTTCTTGTAAATGCTGTTTCTTAAATTCCTCCTAATTATAGCACTGGTGTTATTGATTCAAGGTTCTGTAGGAGAAATGCAACCTAAAAGTGCCTCGCCATTTAATTTCCATTAAATGGAAAACAGATCAGTTTAGGATTGTAAATAAACAGAAGTTGCCTACGGATGCTTTTGTTGACTCAACGCTGTTGACAGCAGATGAATGCACAGGGAATTGTAAATGGAGGAAAAATGAAAGAGGCTGAAATTAAATAACTTAAAATAATGAGAAATGTAGAATAAAATGGCTACATTTTTTTCTGGTCTTTGAGGGCAGTTAAACAGAAAATATCCCGGTGAGAAGCAGTTGGGGGAAGAGTGTGTTTTGATTCACCCTGGCAGTGCTAGGCGCTGGAGCTTGTGGCTGGGTGCTCAGTTCATGACTTTTAGCTCTTACCCTCGAATTGGACTTTCTTTGGGTTTCGAGCGGAATAAACGGGCTCAGGGGAATATCCCCAACACGTTAGGAAACCTAAAAATTATTTATTGCCTCTTAAAAAATTTAAATGTTCAATAACAATGTACCCTGAAGTGCTGAGTGTGAAAGGACCAGCACTTGAAAGCTAATTCGGGATTTTAGATGGGAAAAAAAGGACTTAAATTTCGACCGGAGCAATGCGCTGTGTTCCACCATCGCCCTTTCTTGTTGTATTTCATTCCCAGCACTGAGTCCACGGGACAGGACAGTCCTCAGTCCTGCCGCCGACCCCAGGGTATTTATCAGTGCACTAGGGAATATGTAGTCAGATATTCGCAAGAGCACAGGATGAGGTTCCGGTACCTGCTTCCCTGCTGCCGGCCGGCCCTCTCAGCTCTCTTTCTGCGGTGGCCCGGTGTTTGAGGAGCTCCCGGTTTGCTCCGAGGCCCGCGGAATGAACGCCTCTCCGGGAAAGGGAAGGCTCTGCTCGCGTTTTTCAAACCAGGGACCGGGAACCGCTTCTTCCTGCTCTTCCCGGCCCTGTTCAACCCGCGAACCCTCTCGCTGTGTATGCACTGGGTGCCCCCCCACCTCCTTTCGGGATGTGGCCCCGGTCCCGGCCCGGCGGCGCGGAGGATTCCCGGGGCCCGCAGCGGGGGAAACGCGGCCCCGCATGGCTTGGCCCGACCGCTGCTCCCGGGCTCTGCGGGCCGCTGCGGAAAGGCGACCGGGCCGGCGGTTCCGCTCCGGACAGGCCCGGGGCTGTCCCCCGGCTAGCGGGCTCGGGGACCGGCAGGCGCCGTGCTCCCGGCAGCTGCGGCAGCGACGGCCGGTGTTTCAGCGGGGCTGTGCTGTTGTTTTGTCTCCCGGCGCGCTGCAGGCTCCAGCACCAGGCGATAGGACAGAGCGGAATGCGGTCGCTGGCAGAGCCCGGCTGCCCGACCCACAGCTCGGCCGAGTCTCCGTCCACGGCTGCCAGCCCGACCACCAGCGTCTCCAGCCTGACAGAAAGAGCCGAGACGGGCACCTCCATCCTCTCGGTAACCTCCAGCGACTCGGAATGTGATGTATGATATCGAAAAACAAACAAACAAACAAAAATATTCCAAATCCAAACAGCCAAGCACCCTCTCCCCGACCCGAGCAAAACAAACCGAGACAACCCAGGATGAGGACACACACCCGCACGCACGCACACACACAGCCAGGAGGAAAGCAAAGGCCAAACCCGACCCAAACATAATAGCAAATAAACAGACAGGGCTCAGAGAATCCACCACCATCACCGGCAGCCAACACCACCACCAAGAGATGGAGCTAAAACTTCAACAGTCACAAACGCTGGTGCTGCAGCGGGAGGGGGGGGGAAAGGGGGGGGGGGGGCGGGAAAGAATAATTATTATATATAGAAAAAGGAAAAAAAAAGGAAAAAAAAAGCAAAGCAAAAGTGACAATTGTATTCTTTTTAGGACAAGCACGATTTCTCCTTTGCGCTTTTCCATGGACGCATTTCACCCACTTGCATGATGATGATGATTAAATTTGTATCTGGGAAAAAATATTCTCTATAGTCAAGGAAAAACAAACAGAAACCAGAAAAAAAAAAAAACTCCCATCGAATTTGTATAAAAATAAAAAATGAAAAAAAAAAAAAAGATTAAAAAGGAACTCCTTGAAGAGGGAAATAACAAATGTTTATCGCCTTTTTGTTGGTCCTATTTCTCTCTCTTTCTCTCCCCCTCTCCCTTTCTCTCTGTTATTTTCTTTCTTGGGTTTTTTTTTTTTTTCCAAGTCCAAGTGATGGTCCAGCCAAGATGCAATTCTCTGTTATTTCTTTTTTTGTTCAGCAGACAATCATTTTATTCGTAAGCACCTTTTTTTCTACACTTCTGTCACTGCCTGTGTGGGTACTGGTTATAAATGTGGAAAAAGAATAGTTATGACTGTAACAGATTTTTATTTTTATTTCAAAATTTTATATGAATTATGTATATCTTAATGATGCGGTCATTTTCCCAGTTTGTAATATATGTGTAGAAATGCTTGTATATGATATTTGCGCTCCTCTTTCTTTCCTCCCCCCCCCCCCTTGTCTATCTCCCTCCCACCCTTTCTCCCTCTCTCCTTTTTATTTTCCTTGACTCGGTGTTCCTTGCACAAACTTAGCTGTCAAGAGCTGACGTGCTAGGTTTTCAAAAGGGACCTCAGCGATAGAAAAAAAAAAAAAAAAAAGAAAAGGAAAAAAAAAACCCAAAAAAAGGAAAGAAAAGGAAAAAAAAAAAAAGCTTAGGGTGCAACTGTAGTTATCTTATGCAAAAGCTATTTTGAGTATTTCATAGCAGCTTTGGGGGTCTCTTCTTAAACTCCACGTAGGACGCTTCAACTATTGTTTCCTTAACTGCGTGTTTATCTATATGTACAAACTTTCTAAATCAAATACAGTATTCCATTTTCTTATCTACCCAGAGATGTTGGTCTTTTTGTCCGCCACGGAAAAAATACCCTCTCCCCCTCCGCTGTGGGCCACGATGTAGAGGATTCTAGGGGGACCCTGCGAGGAGGCTGCGGGCGGGCGGCAGCGAGGACCCCGGGCTGCGCGGTGCGGGGCGCGGCGTGTCCCTCCGCCACCGCGGGCTCCAGCTCCGTGTGTGTGTGTGTGTCCCCTCGCACCCCCGGACCTTTTTTTGTGCCCTCTGAGCTGAAAGGCTTCCCTTGGCCGCCCGTCTGCAGGGCCGGGGGGCTCCGGAGAGCGGTTAAGACATTTCGGGATTTGTTTTGTAGCTTTAAAGGAAAACAAAAACATAAACTCCTCGCCCTAAGCTGGTTGCAGCTCCTCCCCTCGAATCCGGAGTATATTGTAACGTGCTGAAAGAAGCCTTTATTGCATGACTAACAGTATTTCAGCATCTCTTTCTTTTCTTCTTTTTTTTCCTCCTTTTTTTTTTTTTTTTCTTTTTTTCTTTTTTTTTCGTTAAAGTTTTGCTTTGCCCTGGGCAGGTTATTCAGCCATGAATTAACGAGAGGTAAAATCTAAACTTGTTTTCACTTGAAAATACAATTTTGAAACTTACCAGGGATTTAGGGAGAAACGTGCTTAGAATTTCTTGACCATTTCCAGAGTAATTTGGATTTACGATCTATCTTTGCATTGCCCGTGTCTTCTCTCCCTCTTCTCCCCCTTTTTTTGTGTGTGGGGGGCCAAGTCCGAGCTAGGTTTACGGGAAGCCTTAGGAAGGGCCTGGGCTTCCCTCTGCCGCAAGAGGCTACCTGCGTATCTGGGAGAACCCCCGAGGGTGTGAGACCTCAGAGCAAGCCACTAATGGGTGATGTGAAGGAATATGCTGATGTGTGTTCATCTACTTTTGGTGCCCCTGAGGAAAAGCCGAGCGTGTGCTTGCAGAGACCGCGTAGGGGATGCGTGTGTTCCCCACGCCCTGAGACTTCCCTGACTGCGGAAGAAAAGAGTTTCCGCGCTGGGCCGCGGAGACCACCGCAGGGGTAGTGGTGGGATTTCTCCTCCGTTTGCCCGCGGGAGCCACTGCGGGTATGGACACGGGTGGCCCGAGGCAGCGCCCGCCCCGTCGGGGTTCGCCTCCCCCTTCGCTCCACGAGTGGCCCCGCGGCGGGGCCTCCCCATGGGCAGCTCCACGGCTCCGTCGCCAACACTATTTGGGGTTGAAACCAAAAAACGCCTGGCTGTACGAAACCGGAATGGATGGGAATTGCCTGAGGAGAGGAACACTCACGCAACACGAGGGCTCCCGTGTTCCGCAGGGGTGGGAGAAGGGGGTAGCGTGGTGGACGTAGTAGCTCTTTTCCCCGCTCCCTTCCTGTGGCTTTAAGAGGGGAGAAATATTACCCGAGAGAGGATGAAAGGCTCCCCAAGGGCCCACGCACGGGTCTCAAGCCTGGACTCGGGCTACTGTGTCTCCCCCGGCAGCGAGGCAGTGGAGAGGCCTTCACCGGGAAAAATCCCTGGCCTGCCCCTCACCCCGGCTTTGGGTAGGAAGGAGATCTGCTATGTCGATACAGGGGTTTTAAGTGCAATATTCCCGCTCCTCGCTGGTAGAAGTGTCGTTTCCATCTTGTTTTATTTTTAACGGAATTTAATACTTAAAAGGATTCAGAGGCGTGGAAGTTTGGGATTTTTTTTGTTTTTGTTCTCTCCTTTTCTTCCTTCATTTTCGAGTCTCGAAACTGCAGCTAGAAGGCGTCAAGCCGGCAGCAATAATCTACCTCAGCTGAGCCTTACACTGATAGGTTTGGATTTTTCTTCCCTCTGATTAAGCCTCCAGAAGATCGCCCCGTCGTGTCGTGGCAGGCAGGGGAGGCCAGAGATCACCTTCAGCCTCATCCCACCCGTGCCTGGCCTCAGGCTTCAGCCTCTCAGGCAGGGCCCTTGCTCGCAGGCCATTTGTCACTCCCCTCATCCCCGAAAATTTACTTCTTGGCAAGGGGGGTTCATCTCCCCCTCGGAGCCAGGAGGCCTTTGTGGGGCGGCCAGGAGAAGGGTTTGGGGGTTGCGTGTCCCCATTCAGGGAGGCACCGGTGCCTGTGCTGTTTCGGGGTGACGAGGGTGCAGCTAATTATATGCCGTTTCAAAGCCGGGCTCGGTAATGGATAAATGATGTTGTTTTAGGATTTGCATTAAAAACCTGAATGGCTGATTGAGGTGTAAATCTATGAAAAGCTGCGTTTAAGCCTTCTCACCCACTAAGTCCGCCTGCCCCGGGAAGATAGGGCCTATCGAGCCCCGCCAAACCGGAGGGCTGCCTCCTCCCCGCCCCCGGCCGAGCATTATCGACAGCCCCTCGCCAGCATTAGTTTATTATCCACGGCGAGCTCGGCCGTTGATTAAGATGAAATTACTCGGAAGCTGAAGTGCGTTTGATCAATATTTAAGCGCAAGCCGGCGGACAGGAGGCAGATGGCCGGAGCCCAGCAGCACACGGCTCTCGCCGCTCTGCTCCCCGGCTTCCACACTCCCCCCCCGTCGGAAGTAGGGCTAAGACCAGACGGTTCCGGGAGCAATTTGGAGAGGGTGGTCACTCCCACCCCAACCACCCCGGCCGCCCATCCCCTTGCCGAGGGGTTCTACCACTGCTTTCACCCCCAAAGGGCTCTGGTTAGTGGCTCCACCGGGGTGCGTGCACCCCTGCCTAGGGGGGGTGCAGACCTCCGAAGGTATCTTCCTGCTTCCCTCCCTCCTCCTCAGCCTTCTTCCCTCCGGTGCCGCTGCCCGAGGGCCGGCCGAGCCCTTAGCATGGCTGGGGGGCCTTTGTGTGCCTGAAGGGCTGCGGCTGCTGCCGCCCTCCTCGGCCAGGCGTGGGGGCTGCGACCATCCCCTGCTCCCGCTGCCCCAGCAGTGACAAGCGCCTTGCAGAGGGACTCGAATCTCCTTGACCGTTGCCCTTAATTTTTAGCATACCCAGATGAGGTTACTGCCCCAGCTCGAAGTGAAAAGAAACGTGGACGTTGGTGCCCTGGTATTGCTCTGATTTCTTCGGTTAGCTGAGCACAACTTTCTATTCGTGTTTATTCATGCAGCTTCTTATTGAGCTCCACATCGCACTGGCCTGGATTCCTCGTGTAGGGAGAGGATAGACAAACATTGCCTTTTTCTAGAGCACACACACACACGGGTGTGCAGGCTGACACACGCGAGTCCAAAATGCCGAGGGCACTCTGCATCGCCGCCCTGCAGAGAGCCCGGGCACACAGAAGTTTGTAAATGGTGTATAAAAAGGGGTGAAACGAAGCCAATCATCCAGTTGCAAACTGATGGAGAAGGCAGAGAGGCGGAGGGAGGAGAAAGAAGGAGCTGGGAAGAGAAAGCACTAGGGAGAGTACCGGCGATTGAGCTAAATATTCTTTCTGGCACTGTAATGACAAAAGGCAGGGGCTGTCGGGGTATAGCTAAGATTAAATGATACTAAAGAGATTTGTGTTGCTGTGTCTGGGGGAAGGACGGCTGTGAGGTTTTGTTTTCGGCGCTGTTCTTTTTCATTTTGGAAGCAAGGTGGCTTCGGACCAGGGGGTTCAAACGGGCACCTCGGCAACTGCGAGAGAGGAGAGATGCAGAAAAGTGATGAATAAAGAAAGGCTAGATGGAAATATCCGCAAGTGCCTGGTTAGAATCACCTCGCTGTGAGCGAGGTGAAGTGGCAGGTTCGGCTCTCCCTGCGGCAGGCCGGTCCTCCGCCGAACAGGTAGAAAAAAGAAGGAAGAAAACTATACTGGAAGTCAAGATGTACACTATCTAAAGCCAGACTGCAACTATCTTGAATTCCAGTTCTAGCTATTACAGGGAGATTTATCTCTACTTCAAATATTTGCCTTTATTTTTGTCCCCATAGAAACATCATTACGGGAAGTTCATTTAATAATAAGGTCAATGAAAGAGTATTTTTCAATGAGTGGAGGAAAAATTCTGTTTCTTACCGGACTAAGCTCTCCAGCAATACCTGGCAACAGTAAAGTAGTGTGGCAGTTCACCGGAGCACACAGATTTCTACATGGGCCTGCGTGTCTTTGCGTGAATGTGTGTCCATGCAGGTGAGCGCATACGTCCATGAAGTGTGGCTTGTGCTCTCGGTGGGATGCAGCTGATGTATCTTATGTCCAAACACACATTCGCATAGGCATGTGGACACACATATACGTATATATATGCGTGATTTCAGATTAAAGTAGCTCTTGTAATACCTTGCAGAACACTAAATATTCCCTTTTAATATTTAAATAGGTCACTAATACAGTTCAGTAACATTGGAGGTGTCTGTATATTCTCTCTCTACAGTCTGTGATAAAACATTCTTTAAGACTATTGGGATTTTACACTGTAATTCTATTAAATAGTAATTGAAGGGTCGCGAGAGGCTATGATACAGGATCAGCAGTGTGTAAGCCATCCGTTTGAACTTTAATTTGGAATCATAGGCAGATGGGATCACGGCCTCTTTGTGGTGCTTGCAGATTTAAAACTAGCCGGCACATGGAGGAAAAAAACCCAAATACGAACGCAACTCTAGCCAACCCTGCAATGCAGATTCATTCATTAAACATGAAAGGTTAGTGCTAGAGAGGATAAACGTTTAGACGTCTAGGTAAATACAGAAATATACTTCCCTCCCCCCTCTTCCCTCCTACTATAACCCCCAACTGTCTCAGTTACTGATTTTCTATTGTCATTACAAATAACTTTCTTTTACATCCCCAGTGGAAAGAAGTGTACCTGAATGACTTATTTATACCTGCATATCAGTCTATCTGTGCAACTTTTATTCCACTTGCAACCGGGGGGGGGGGGGGTGTCCCACCTTTATCTATCTATCTATCTATCTATCTATCTATCTACCTACCTACCTACCTGCCTGCCTGTCTACCTATTTACTCTTTCCCTTGGGCCTCCTTGGGCTCTTTTTAAAACAGTCTTGGAAGGGTTGCAGGAGAGGAGCCTCG